CATGTCCGAACCACCTCAACAACCCTTCCTCAGCCCTCTGGACAACAGTTTTGGTAATCCCGCACCTCCTCCTAACTTCCAAACTACGAATTCTCTGCATTATATTCACACCACACATTGCCCTCAGACATGACATCTCCACTGCCTCCAGCCTTCTCCTCGCTGCAACATTCTCTCTTCTATTATCTAATTACCTATTTGATTTTGTAGGGGCTAGCTCTAGCAGCCTCCATGGGGAAGTGGAACAGAATTCCTCCTCCGTAAGCCATGCGTGTTGTAAGAGGCGACTAAAATGCCAGGAGCAAGGGTCTAGTAACCCCTTCTCCTGTATATATTGCTAAATTTAAAAGGAGAAGCTTTTGTTTTTCCTTTTGGGCCACCCCGCCTCGGTGGGATACGGCCGGTGTGTTGAAAGAAAGAAAAGCTCTAGCAGCTTTTTGCTCTGCTTGGATGATTCATAGACACAATACAATACTGAGGTTTGACAATGTTATGCTTCAATTTTATACTAGTTACACATCAACTCACAGTACAGTATAAAATGAATTTAATTTTGCATTAAACTGATTTATAATGACATAACCAGTCAATTAAAACAAATTAGGTTGAAGTGAGAAATATTCTTGCCATCTAACAGGTGTTTAACCCCTAAACGGTCCAAACGCATATATATGTTCTTACGCGTAGCGCCCCAAACGTATATATACGTTTTAATTTTCCTGCCTCCAAATTTGGCATGATTGCCCTGAGATGCCTGGTCAGCATAGAATGGGACTTAACACTCGGTATGCACCATATTAAAAAATCTGGGACCACTTAGTACCTTGTGGGAGTGCCAGTTAAATTGAGTGCCAGCTAGAGCAAACAGTGTGGCAAACACCAAGGATTCACTGATGTAATGTCAGATTAACACTCCTCTTTTAAGAGGAAAGTGATGTTAACCCTAAGTTTAGGGTCTGTCGATCTCTGTCTATCTCTATATCTATCTATCTGTGTCTGTCTCTGTCTATCTGTGTCTGTCTCTATCTGTCTTTGCCTATTTATCTCTTTCAATCTGTCTCTGTCTATCTGTCTCAAAGGTACACATAAATACAAGTATACATAGTGCAAATTACCTAGGATAACCCAAAAAATCCAGACAAAGTGCTATACTCTGCTTGAAGATGTGAGTAAACGTCATGATGACGCAGTCTTGTGGCTCTCTCTGAGACAGAGAGCTAGATGGATAGACAGACAGGGAGCTTGACAGACGGACAAATAGACAGACAGGCATGTTTGTGTACCTGCGAAATCAAAGGGAGGGCGATGCTCATCAAATGACACCTCTAATCTTTTCTTATCAAGTGTTATCACTGCACCCTCGTGTATGCTCATCAAACGTCAGCTCTTATCAAATGTTTTCTTATGTCACTGTCAGGGGTGGACTTTGTTTTCCATGCTTCAAGGGAAATCGTCGTTGTCGTCTTCCTCCTCCTCCTCACATTTACTTCTTTTACAACTCCATCTATAAATATACTAAACAACCATGGTGACATTATACATACATGTCTAAGACCTACTTTTACTGGGAAGTACTCTCCCTCTCTTCTACACACCCTAACCTAAGCCTCACTATCCTCATAAAAACTCTTTACAGCATTTAGTAACTTACCACCTATTCCATATACTTGCAACATCTGCCACATTGCTCCCCTATCCATTCTATCATATGTCTTTTCTAAATCCATAAATGCAATAAAAACTTCCCTACCTTTATCTAAATACTGTTCACATATATGCTTCAATGTAAACACTTGATATACACATCCCCTACCCACTCTAAAACCTCCTTGCTCATCTGCAATCCTACATTCTGTCTTACCTCTAATTCTTTCAATAATAACCCTACCGTACACTTTTCCTGGTGTACTCAGTAAACTTATTCCTCTATAATTTTTACAATCTCTTTTGTCCCCCTTCCCTTTATATAAAGGGACTATACATGCTCTCTGCCAATCCCTAGGTACCTTCCCCTCTTTCATACATTTTTTAAACAAAAATACCAACCACTCCAACACTATATCCCCCCCTACTTTTAACATTTCTGTCATGATCCCATCAGTTCCAGCTGCTTTACCCCCTTTCATTCAACATAATGCCTCACGCACCTCCCCCACACTCACATCCTGCTCTTCTCCACTCCTACAAGATGGTATACCTCCCTGGCCAGTGCATGAAATTACTGCCTCCCTTTTTTTGTCGACATTTAAAAGTTCCTAAAAATATTCTCGCCATCTACCCAATACCTCCATCTCCCCATCTACTAACTCCCCTACTCTGTTTTTAACTGACATATCCATTCATTCCCTAGGCTTTCTTAACTTGTTTAACTCACTCCAAAATTTTTTCTTATTTTCATTAAAATTTCTTGACAGTGCCTCTCCCACTCTATCATCTGCTCTCCTTTTGTACTCTCTCACCACTCTCTTCACCTTTCTTTTACTCTCCATATACTCTACTCTTCGTATAGCACTTCTGCTTTGTAAAAACCTCTCATAAGCTACCTTTTTCTCTTTTATCACACCCTTTACTTCATCATTCCACCAATCAGTCCTCTTTCCTCCTGCACCCACCCTCCTATAACCACAAACTTCTGCCCCACATTCTAATACTGCATTTTTAAAACTATTCCAACCCTCTTAAAACCCCCCCCCCCTCACTACTCATACTTGCAACAGCCCACCTTTCTGCCAATAGTTGCTTATATCCCACCCAAACTTCCTCCTCCCTTAGTTTATACACTTTCACCTCCCTCTTACTTGATGTCATTTTCCTCTTGTCCCATCTACCTCTTATTCTAACTGTAGCTACAACTAAATAATGATCTGATATATCAGTTGCCCCTCTATAAACGTGTACATCCTGGAACCTACCCATCAACCTTTTATCCACCAATACATAATCTAACAAACTACTTTCATTATGCGCTATATCATACCTTGTATATTTATTTATCCTCTTTTTCATAAAATATGTATTACTTATTACCAAACCTTTTTCTACACATAGCTCAATTAAAGGCTCCCCATTTTCATTTACCCCTGGCACCCCAAATTTACCTACTACTCCCTCCACAACATTTTTACCCACTTTAGCATTGTATATTAATATTGTACATTAATTAAGTCTGGGATGGGGAACCAGGGCTACCTACACCTGACTTCCTACAAATAAGTACTATTCACCTCTCACCCAACATTAAGACTACAAATATTTTAAAGTAATGAATGAACTGTGTATGTATTTTACTTTTTATTGTGCTTTTAATGCCTAGTTCTATTACTAACGTAATATAAGTTGGTGTAAACTTGCTGTTTGGCATTTATATGCATTTACAAGTGGAAAAAATGACGTTCTGCTTTCCGGTGATAGCCTGGAACTTAACCTGCCATATAAGTGGGACCCTACTGTATATGCATTTTATTGCTCTGGGGCGCTTTAAATGTTGTTGTATATTATGTGTGGGTGGGGTGGCCTGGCTGGCTACCATACCTCCCACACCCGATTTCTTACTATAAATACTACTTGCCTTTCACCTTACATTAAGACTACAAATATTTTAAGGTAAGTAATGAGTGTACTGTGTGTGTATTTTACTTTTTATTGCTTTTAATGCCTAGTTCTATTGCTAACTTAATATATGTTAGTGTAAATGTGTTATCTGGCATTTATGTGCATTTATAAGTGGAAAAATGGCATTCTGCTCTCCACTGATGTCTGCTTTCCAACGGTAGCCTGGAACTTAACCTGCCATATAAGTTGAGCCCTACTATATAAATTATTTATATGTCCCAGCAATGGTTTTGGAAGTATACGAAACTCCTTGAAGTACAGTGTCAGACAAGAGTGTCACTCTACACTGCTGGTGGTGCAGTCACTCATTAGTTCTAATCGTGCACTGCTCCCAGTGAACCTTGACATATGTTTTTTTATTTGTTGTTACTGCTATATCTATCTGTCTGTCAGTCTAGTTTTGTCTTTGTCTCTGTCTCTGCTGTCTGTCTGTCTCTGCTCTCTGCTCTCTCTCTCTCTCTCAGAGAGAGCTGCTCATGAACCAACAGGTACTACACACGCTGCATAATCGTCACATCTGAACAAATGGAAATGCATATTACTTGCCAGTCATGCTTATGCCTTATATCAACCAGCACAGTATAGCACTTTGTCTGGCTTTTTTGGGTTATCCTAGGCAATTACACTATGTATGATACCTGTACCTAAATAAGCTTAGTCCTTGATTCTGGTTTATGATTGTCTCTGGGACAAAGGCAGACAGACAGAGATGGAGAGAGCTAGCCAGTTAACCAGCCGGCTTGCTGAACACATATTACATTACAGAATCGGTTCTCTTTACTTAGGTCATAGGTTAGAGGACATTCTGAAAGGATGAGACTACCAGTGGTATCAAAACTGAAAGGGTGTTGCACATGGGTTATTATCTAGGTTTTTGATATTTCCTCGACCACTTGTAGCCACGTCCATCTCCAAGCTACTAAGCTCAGGGTCAACATCACTCTCTTCTTAAAAGTGGAGTATTAATACGACATGGCATTAGTGAATCCCTGGGGTTTGCCAAGCTATTTGCTCTAGCTGGCACTCAGTTGAACTGGTGCTCCCATAATGTACTAAGTTGTCCTAGATTTAATACTATGCACAATGAGTGTCAAGACCCATTCTATACTGCCTAGGCCTAATAGGGCTATCGTGCCAAATTTGGAGGCAGGAAGAATAAAACGTTGATCTACATTCGGAGCGCTAGCAGTAATAACATATATCAATGTTTGGACATTATATATTAATGTTTGAAGGGTAACCAATACTTAGGAGAAGAAACTTGAGATAAAGTTTTGACCCATCCTGGACCATTATCGAGTAAAAAATTTGCAGCACTGCAATAAAGCATTTAGAAACCTATAAGACACATGAAAAAATAGCGCTCAAGGTATTTAGTAACCCTTTACCTCTGGAGAGAGAACATCTCTTTCAGTATCCATAGAATCCTCTGCAGAGCTATTTTCGGCATCTTCATCACCTGGGATATTCCCACATTCATCCCAATCATCATCATCATCATCATCTGGGAAACAATAAATTGTACATATTACATATGTCAATGGTCCTGAGAATCATCAACCCTACATGACCCAGTCTCAGACCATGCTGGTCTACGGTAGAGCCTGGACAGACTCTACCATAGACCAGCTAGACAAGACCAAGCTTCCACTCAGAAAAGTCACTGGGGGTGGCAACTGCTGACTCTGGGGAAGTGGGGAAGGAAGTCCACCTGAGGTGACACAAGTGGACTCCTGGAGACACTGGACCGGGGAAGGCACCGCTGACCTTAGGTAAGTGGGGAAGGGGAGACATCCGGGAGCGAACGGATGGATTCCTGGATACATGAACTGTAGACTAATGAAAGTAAAATCTAATGTTATTTATGTACACCCTTCGGGGTAGCCCAGTGGTGAGAGGCGTGACTCTCACCACTGGGGTCCAGGGTTTGAAACCCGGAAGAACTACTAGAAAAGAAAATATCGAAACTGTAGGCCAGTGGTGAGAGACGCGAATCTCACCGCTGGTGTCTGGGGTACGAGATTTGGACGAACTACTTAAAAAAAAAAAAAAAAACTGTAGCGCGGTAGTAAGTGCCACGCTTCTCACCATCGGTGCCCAGTGTAGAGACATGCACGAACTACTAAAAAAAAAAAAAAAAAGAAAATCGAAACTGTAGGCCAGTAGTGAGAGACGCAACTCTCACTGGTGTCCGGGGTACGAGAACTGGACGAACTACTTAAAAAAAAAAAAAACTGTAGTGCAGTAGTAAGTATCACGCTTCTCACCACCAGTGCCCGGTGTAGACATGCACAAACTAATGGAAAAAAAATTGAAACTGTAGGGCAGTGGTGAGAGGCGCTACTTTCACCACTGGTGTCCGGGGTACGAGAACCGGACAAACTACTTAAAAAAAACCAAAAAAACTGTAGCGCAGTAGTAAGTGCCACGCTTCTCACCACTGGTGCCCGGTGTAGAGACAAGCACGAACTACTGAAAAAAAATATAAAAAAATATATTTGTTGCTGTTGCCCAGCGGTGAGAGGAGCGACTCTCATTGCTGAGGTCCAGGGAATAAAGCCTGGGCTTTAATATAAAAAAAATTATAAGGAGACGTGTCAGCCAGGCTGTAAGATGCTCTGCTAAAATTATTTCTGTCACTAAATCAGGTCTCTCGAATTGGTAAAATTTTGCTGGGTCACCCTCTGGAGAAGGCCCGGGCCGGAAGTACCGGCGAATCAACATGAATGAATGAATATTATCATCATCTCAATGCATATTTCTCATCAAGGCAGGGTAACCCAAAGAAGAAAACTCATTCACTTAATTGTGATTTTTCCAGAAGTATGCTAACATCACAATCAGATTACCCTTTTAACTGCAACATTCCACCCCTATTTTGGAGCAAAGGCGTTGCCCTTTCCACCTCCAGGACCTAAGCGATTTCCCTTGAATCCTTACATAAAAGCTACCCTGTTCACACTAACAGGACAGCAATTAACCCTTTCATTGTCACTCACTTAGACCTATATTACTGATGCAAGCATTGCTCACCAAAGTCTGTGTATCAAGAGTGAGAGAAGGGACCCCGCTTTACAGTGTTTGGCTAATACAGACATTTCAAATTATGACCAAAACTCGTAATACAGCTCCACCCCTCCCGCCTAACTAGCTAGTAAGGCCTCCACGCGCCACTGTTTACACCCTCTGTGAGCTCCACTTCTCTCCACTATATCTTGAAACTTTCCAAAATTTCAAGTGTCTGAAAGTTACTGCGTATTACAGTAGACCATTATTTAGCTTGAGTTGATTTGGCACGATTTGAGTATAGCACGATTGAAGAATTGCAGCACAATTTTATGTAACACGTCATATGATGAATTTAACACGGTTCAGTTTGCGGAAAGGTAAAAAAAAACTTCCCTTGTCCTCAAGCAGCCACCTTGTTGTGGTTCAGCTGGGAGACCTCCTGCCGTCCCCAGCCACCCTCCGACACCACCCCAACATCAAAGCATTTGTACTTCATACGTGTCCAGTCCAACTTCTCAGCTACAAGCTCGTGATTGTGAATTGTGTTTTGATCTTTTAATTGCTATATCTTGTATCTACCAAGCAGTCATGATACCCAGTAAGCATACCAGTGTTGCTCAAAGTGACAAGAAAAGGTATAAACATTTTTTTTTTTTTTAACAAGTCGGCCGTCTCCCACCGAGGCAGGGTGACCCCAAAAAGAAAGAAAATCCCCAAAAAGAAAATACTTTCACCATCATTCAACACTTTCACCACACTCGCACATTATCACTGTTTTTGCAGAGGTGCTCAGAATACAACAGTTTAGAAGCATACACATATAAAGATACACAACATATCCCTCCAAACTGCCAATATCCCAAACCCCTCCTTTAAAGTGCAGGCATTGTACTTCCCATTTCCAGGACTCAAGTCTGACTATATGAAAATAACCGGTTTCCCTGAATCCCTTCACTAAATATTACCCTGCTCACACTCCAACAGATCGTCAGGTCCCAAGTACCATTCGTCTCCATTCACTCCTATCTAACATGCTCATGCACGCTTGATGGAAGTCCAAGCCCCTTGCCCACAAAACCTCCTTTACCCCCTCTCTTCATCCCTTTTGAGGACGACCCCTACTCCGCCTTCCTTCCCCTATAGATTTATATGCTTTCCATGCTATTCTACTTTGATCCATTCTCTCTAAATGACCAAACCACCTCAGCAACCCCTCTTCTGCCCTCTGACTAATACTTTTATTAATTCCACACTTTTTCCTAATTTCCACACTCCGAATTTTCTGCATAATATTTACACCACACATTGCCCTTAAACAGGACATCTCCACTGCCTCCAACCGTCTCCTTGCTGCTGCATTTACCACCCAAGCTTCACACCCATATAAGAGTGTTGGTACTACTATACTTTCATACATTCCCTTCTTTGCCTCCATAGATAACGTTTTTTGACTCCACATATACCTCAACGCACCACTCACCTTTTTTCCCTCATCAATTCTATGATTAACCTCATCCTTCATAAATCCATCCACCAACACGTCAACTCCCAAGTATCTGAAAACATTCACTTCTTCCATACTCCTCCTCCCCAATTTGATATCCAATTTTTCTTTATCTAAATCATTTGACACTCTCATCACCTTACTCTTTTCTATGTTCACTTTCAACTTTCTACCTTTACACATTCCCAAACTCATCCACTAACCTTTGCAATTTTTCTTTAGAATCTCCCATAAGCACAGTATCATCAGCAAAAAGTAACTGTGTCAATTCCCATTTTGAATTTGATTCCCCAAAATTTAATCCCACCCCTCTCCCGAACACCCTAGCATTTACTTCCTTTACAACCCCATCTATAAATATATTAAACAACCATGGTGACATTACACATCCATGTCTAAGACCTACTTTTACTGGGAAGTAGTCTCCCTCTCTTCTACACACCCTAACCTGAGCCTCACTATCCTCATAAAAACTCTTTACAGCATTTAATAACTTACCACCTATTCCATATACTTGCAACATCTCCCACATTGCTCCTCTATCCACTCTATCATATGCCTTTTCTAAATCCATAAATGCAATAAAAACTTCCCTACCTTTATCTAAATACTGTTCACATATATGCTTCAATGTAAACACTTGATCTACACATCCCCTACCCACTCTGAAACCTCCTTGCTTATCCACAATCCTACATTCTGTCTTACCTCTAATTCTTTCAATTATAACCCTACCGTACACTTTTCCTGGTATATTCAGTAAACTTATTCCTCTATAATTTTTACAGTCTCTTTTGTCCCCTTTCCCTTTATATAAAGGGACTATACATGCTCTCCGCCAATCCCTAGGTACCTTCCCCTCTTTCATACATTTATTAAACAAAAGTACCAACCACTCCAACACTATATCCCCCCTGATTTTAACATTTCTGTCATGATCCCATCAGTTCCAGCTGCTTTACCCCCTTTCATTTTACGTAATGCCTCACGTACCTCCCCCACACTTACATTCTGCTCTTCTTCACTCCTAAAAGATGGTATACCTCCCTGACCAGTGCATGAAATTACTGCCTCCCTTTCTTCCTTAACATTTAAAAGTTCCTCAAAATATTCTCGCCATCTACCTAATACCTCCATCTCCCCATCTACTAACTCCCCTACTCTGTTTTTTAACTGACAAATCCATACTTTCCCTAGGCTTTCTTAACTTGTTTAACTCACTCAAAAATTTTTTCTTATTTTCATTAAAATTTCTTGACAGTGCCTCTCCCACTCTATCATCTGCTCTCCTTTTGCACTCTCTCACCACTCTCTTTACCTTTCTTTTACTCTCCATATACTCTGCTCTTCTTATAACACTTCTGCTTTGTAAAAACCTCTCATAAGCTACCTTTTTCTCTTTTATCACACCCTTTACTTCATCATTCCACCAATCACTCCTCTTTCCTCCTGGCCCCACCCTCCTATAACCACAAACTTCTGCCCCACATTCTAATACTGCATTCTTAAAACTATTCCAACCCTCTTCAACCCCCCCACTACTCATCTTTGCACTAGCCCACCTTTCTGCCAATAGTCGCTTATATCTCACCCGAACTTCCTCCTCCCTTAGTTTATACACTTTCACCTCCCTCTTACTTGTTGCTGCCACCTTCCTCTTTTCCCATCTACCTCTTACTCTAACTGTAGCTACAACTAAATAATGATCCGATATATCAGTTGCCCCTCTATAAACATGTACATCCTGGAGCCTACCCATCAACCTTTTATCCACCAATACATAAACATTTAAGTCTTAGAATTAACGAAGGAAACAAAGATATTAGACAAGACATCCTGTGGCCATAATGAAGTGTTACTTTGTACACATAAAAAAGGGTAAACATAAGTTTGTGTGACTGACTGATTGACTGGCTGCTTACTGAATGACTGAGTGACTAACTTACTGAGCGACTTGACTGAGTTACTGAATGATTTGACTGACTTACTGA